TATCATGTCGTCTTTAGGCCATAAAGTAAGAGACAAAACATTCTGAACCTCTAGTATTAGTGTTGAATATTTTCACGTGACTAAAAAAATCAATGTAATGGATTGTTATCGTTCATCTTTAAAATATTTTTTGATGACCAACATCTTTCATGAAACTGGAGATTTTTACAGTCAAAAAGAACAGTTCACAAATGTCAATTCGAGATTTAAGATTATGTGTAATGCGCAGAAGATATGTTATATTCCTAACAGGGTTATACTGACATACTATTCTCAAGGAGGTATTGGCTATGGATTGTGTAATGTTTGATGCTTTTCTGTAGCAATTTTAAATGAAAAAGCTTTTTTTCCAAAAAATCATTATTGGGTACCCTGTGGTTTTTGGTCTAAAATAAAAACCTCCCCTTAACTCAAAACCTATACCACAATTCGACTCCACTAACTAACAGGTGTTGTTCAGGGGGTGAAGTTCTTCCGGAATCCGAATTCAAACCTTTTCTAATCCGTGGGTTGAACGAAATCCCCCTCTGCTACCAGACTACAACGTATCAGCGCCTTGTTTCAAATCTCAACACAGGAAACCCAATAAAGCACTTACTGATTCATTTATTCATGAACAAATGCTAAAGCCGGGCTCCCTGTGTAAATACCCTAAAATACCCTTCAAAACTCGCTGAAACTGCATACAGGAGTTCAAAATAACCCGAAAATAAGCAAAATGACACCAACAGGCAAGTCGACAAATTTTTATTCACGTTGTCCCAAACAAAATCCCCATACATTCTCTTATAAATGAAGTGAACTTGGGTTGCCTGGGCAGACTCGGGCAATCCTCGGTCAAGACATGTACGGTTGATCTCAGTGTCATGCATGGAGTGTCATGCATGGAGTGTTATGTTGGAACAAGCTCGTGTTGAAACAGGAAGAGGTCGATCCGATCATCTTAAACAAATAAATATAAAGGTAAAATAAAATGAAAGATATGTTAACTCTATTTATATACACAGTATTTATAGACCAACAGTAATAGCCTTAATTTATCAAGTGGGRAAAACGTTCTCAGCTAGTATGAGCTATTTATTAGACTCGCTATTTCGTTTAAGCAAGAAAGCTTAGTTTTACTGTGCATGGCTCGAGCCATGAACTAATTTTGAGTTATGTTTATAAATAACTGTTATTATCGTTAAATCACGGCTTTGGGTATAAGGACGAACCACCGCAAGGCTGAACTTTCAACGAAAGTATGAAATAATAGAGCTTTGATTGATAAAATGCTTTCTTCACCGAGGCATGTTGTTTATATGTTTATATTGAGTGCACAGTATTTCACTTTAGTTCTGATAGTGCAACCGTTTTCTTGAAATTTTATATTTTAAAGTGGGGAGATGGGGGACATTTATTTGGATCTTTTATCTTCATTTGATCATAGTAACTCTGTGACAATAACAGGGCTACTTAAACAGCGAGAACCAACGGTTGATTTAATAAGATAATTTTGAAGGGATCTTTTGATCTGCATTTGTGTCTTTGTGTGATGTTGGTAGTGTGATGAATAGAAGTCTGAGGAAGTGGTGAGACAAAAGCTTTGCTGTATCTGTTTACGAAGGTTAGGTTTCTAGCAAAGCGTAGTGTTGTGGTAGTAAGGGACTGGCGATTAATTAATTTGGGGGGGGGGGGTAGGGGTGGTAGAAACAGGGGGTGGTTCACACAATTTTGAACTACTAAAAAGAGGTTGGGCTGTCTGACTGAGAGGGTCATCATTTTTTCAACCTCGTTTTATACTGGACCAGCAAAAAAAAAGAGCTCCTCAAATCCAGTTTTACATCACCACCCCAACTTTACTGTATGACCAGTCCCTGATGATGCTTTTGACACAATTTTCCTGACATTTCATTTTTTCCAGCCTTGATCACTTTCTAAGGAAATATTCAGTATATGAGAACTGAATTCTTCTGACTGCAAGATTGTCCCAGCATGGATGTATCGGATATCCACCTTAATGGGGATACTAATAACTGTGATCGAAGAAATACCTATGATGTCCAGTTATGTGTTCTAGCTTCTATCTGCATGGTCATAGGTTTTATCATGTGTTTCTTTGGTATGTAATCATCAACTTTTTCCCCGGTGGGTACTCTTGCCCAATTAGGGTAGGGATGTATCGCTGAACCCTCTGAACCTTAACCCTGTTCCAGAGTAAAATCACTGAAATTCATACCCTGTTCCAGAGCAAGATCACTGAAAACCATACTCTGTTCTCGTATTGCAAAAAAAGATACCCTGTTCTAGAGAGGAGAGAGCGTGATTTCATGTACCCTGTCCCAGAGCGAGCGTGATTTTATATACCCTGTTCCAGAGTAGAATCACTAAAAACCATACCCTGTTTGGCAGCACGTACAAGTATAGCGAATATAGGGGAGTACCCCCCCCCCCCGGGACTTTTTCATAGTTATCTATGATTTAACTCTATTAACTGTGATGTATTGTATAGTATGTATATGTAGATCTTGCATAGTTTGGATAAAAACATGGCAGTGTCACATGGCACACAAAATAATTTCCATATCTGAGATGGAACAGAAAAGTCAGAGAAGTTTTATTTGGTGGGGGGTGGGGGAGAGAGGATGAGGATGTTTCAATTTTCTCTTTGCATATAAAATGCTTAAAATGACAAAGCTTGCTAACACTAACATTCAACAAATAAATACGTAGTAAATTGGATTTAACAGTGGCTGCACAGAGTGTGTATTTGCAAAAATGATAAATAAACTATGGATTTATCAACATTGCAGTTAGACACTGTAGCCTAGTTTTGGCCCTCACTAAAAATTATTCTACTTCAATGGCCACTTTGTAATCTAGTAATCTATCTGGACAAGATTCCGGCTTTGCTTCTTTCTTTTGATATATCTCTCACCAACTACACATTTCTTTTTATACAACATATTTGCATATTTAGCATATAATTACATAGTCCCGTGGAAGACGCAGAAGAGTAAAACAATGAATACATAAATAACAATCAATATTCTTTCATCAAACTGCTAAATAGCTTCATGACACAATTCAAAGTGATTCTTTCATGATTTTCTGAAACATATTTACTTCTTTTTGCATTCACTTCTCAGGATACAAACTGTTCAAGTTCATTTTGTTTTGTACTGGTTTCCTGATTGGATTTTTCATTGCCTACACTCTATGTGCCCTGTACATCACAGAACTTTCTGGCACAATGCGTGATCACAAGGAGCAGGTAATAAAAATAATAAGATCAAATCTGACGTGTTTGATTGGTTGAGATTGTGTGCATTATGRCAGTACACTGCAGGTGTGCATTTTCTTGTTGACTTTTCAAGAATTACTCTTCTTCCAAAAATTCTGCATTTTAAGCACTTTATTGCCAAGAAGTTTTGGTTTAAAAACTTAAAAAACAGTAAATAATGTCATTTACTCAATATTTAGCTGCTACAATAATTGATTATTTTTATCTTCCACTTTTGACTGTGAAGAAAACATGTTTCTTGTCAACTATATATAGGGGCCATATAGATAAGTTTAACCAAGTTTCAAGTCATTTCCAATTTTCATCTTAGTGCATGCATGCTTTAATAATAATTGAGGTATTTTAATAATTTTATTAGGTTTTCCTGGGGATAGCAGCTGCTACTGGTCTCATCTTCGGAGTTATTGCTCTGTGTGTTTTCTATGTTGGTCTCTTTATCCTTGGTACGTTTCTAGTTATTTAACACAAGATTTAGTTATAAGTCAAAATAGTGCAAATAATAACTAGTCAGCTGTGACTAGGTCTTATAAAATATACAGCAATTTTGGTTTTGTGTAGTAAAATTAAATTTTTTGCTGTCAAATGTGTGATGCCTTTTCTCACTAAAATTCTTGAGAATGAGTAAACAAAAAAAAAAACTGAAAATGAGTAAACAGTACAAAAATAAATAAAACATAATATATAAAAATCAAAGTACTTCTTCAATATTGGTGAAAGCACTCTTAAATATTAGGTTCCATGCTCATCTTTACTTGTAAAATTGATATATGTTTCTTTATTAGTTAATAAAGACGTTAGTATTATTAAAGAAACTTCCGTAACAAGTAAATTACGAGCCTTAGATGAAACGACTACACTGTGCTGACGAGGCCCAATACAGGCCAAAAAAGCTGTCCACAGTTTCTAGTTGAGCTGGCTCATTTTTATGCGACTTGAAGTTGTGAAAGGCTTGTATGGCACTCTTCTTCAGTCGTTTCATCTAAGGCTCGTAATTTACTTATTACGAATGTTCTTATTTGATATCCGAGCCCATCCCACACGGCGCACTGCCACATCTAGTTAGTATAATTATTTAAGCATTGTCATATTCACCATTATGACCATCATTGTGATCAAACTGCATCATACGTTAAGGTATCAGTAAATGGTCAACACCTTAAAGGCCTATTTACACGGCACGATTTGCCGCGCGCGACTTGACGTATACGGCAAAATCAGCTCAAAATCGGGTCGTGTAAATGGCCTACGACAGACGTACGCGGCCTCAAGACTTGTCGTAGCATTTTAAACTTTGGCTTAAAACCCTACGACATGCCGTAGGTAAAATGATGTAAATATGACGATTTTGACCGAGATTGGGACTGGAACTAGTTGATTCCAAAACAAAATGGCGGATTTCCATGAAAACGTCTTTACTGGTAATTAAACACGAAGTGCAAAAATTCTGAATGTTCTCATCGAATAACAAGGTAGACATGATCATTTACTGCACTTCTCAACTGTGTATGGTGGCATTTTACAAAAAGAAACATTTGCTGTAATGACGAGTAAATTGCTCGCGTTTTTTTTGTGCCGCGTGCGACAAGTTGTGCTCGTGTAAATGGTACCAAAATTTGCCGTATACGTCAAGTCGTGCGGCAAATCGTGCCGTGTAAATAGGCCTTATAAATACTATACAAAATATCGTGACAAAACAGGAAACCGCCATGCTGGAGGAATAGCACTATGTATAAACAATAGAATCAGCAAGGGCGTTTCCTATATACATTATTATTCTTACAGATCATATTCATTTTGCAGGAGCAACCATGGGTTGGTTTGTTGGTATGGCTTTCTTACCAGTTCTACATGAACATTCATCTTACTTGGCTGACAACAACTGGATGCCGCTGGCTATATTGATGGGATGCGCRATYRTCGGTGGTTTGTTAATAATCTGCATGCAAAAGGTAATGATGAGATTTACATAACCATAATGATAGTGATTAAGGATAACTCTATAGTTTTTGTGTTGGCTAGATGTTGACCCCAGTCCTGCTTTCCYGTAATATCCTTGTGTACTGGAATTGTCAGGGAAATTCTATTCCATTTTGAATTTTCAATATCATGCAAATTCTTTTAGCCAGTTGATATGATATTTAGTAGTTCATTTTTGAGGAGTGAGGAAAACCGGAAAACCCAGAGAAAAACCCCCAAAGCACAGGAGGACACCAACAAACAACTCTACTCACATACTACATTGAGATCGGCAGGACTCGAACTTGGGCCGCATTGGTGAGAGGCCCGTGCTACCCTGATGCTTATCATCATGTTTAAAATTATACATCCTGCTGAAAATTATAAACTTTAATGAGAGAATTACAAATAAAGATGACTGACTTTTTGTTATCATTTTTTCCAGGTTATAATTATTATTGCCACATCTTTCATTGGTGCAGCGTGTTTGACCAATGCTGTTGACTATTACGTGGAGAATAGYGTCACCCTTTATTACTCTATCAAGGTTTTGCATGGTAAGACTTTCGTTCTACCATTCATTCCATTCTATACCAGGACTTTCAGAATGTTTTGGAGTAGGTGGTTATAAATCTGAAGTAGCAGGCTGTGATCTGATACAAGTAAAAGAAGATATTTTATAGAAAAGAAATAGTAGCTGGTGGTTATAACTTTGAAGCTGGCGGCCAGCATATTCTGAAATAGCAATGGCAAGTTTTTGAGATCTTTTTGTTGTATTACATTCAAGAGTAGACTTCATTTGTTATCTACCTCAAAGGCATGAAAATGTRAATTCCAACCAAGGGTATTCAATGTACTCATAATCAATTGAATGTTGTTGGGATTTCTTTCAAATACACAAATTTCCCTCAGCTCAGCAAATTGTACATTCCCATTTTGATTACTACCAATGCAAACAATGCAGCCTTCTTTGTATGTCGTTCCATTTATAGTTACCTATTTAGCTCTAGAAAAAATAAACAATATTSAAACAAAAAAGAAAATTGGTGGAGCTGGCTTATTCTGAAGGCCCTGGCTTATACTTGAGTCAGACTTGTTTTCCCAGGGGGGTACTCTTGCCCGTTTAGGGTAGGGATGTGCCTCTATGCCCACTGAAACCTGACCCTGTTCCAGAGTAAAATGGCTGAAATTCATACCCTGTTGCAGAGCAAKATCACTGAAAATCATACCCTGTTCCGGTATTGCGAAAATGGATACCCTGTTCCAGAGAGGAGAGAGTGTGATTTTATATACCCTGTCCCAGAGCGAGCGCAATTTTATATATTTTGTTCCAGAGTAGAATCGCTGAAAACCATACCCTGTTTGGCGGCACATACCCGTATAGCAAATATAGGGGAGTACCCCCCCCCCCCCCCCCGGGCTTGTTTTCACTGTAAAGTAAGGACTTCTTATGCTTGAATTTTGCTTATTCTTACTTATGCTCGAAATAGCATAATTATAGGTTATTTTTTATTGTAACAATAGGACACATCAATTCTTCAATGATTCCAAAATGCTGGTACACCTGGACAGTGTTTTCATTTCTTCCAATCCTGTTCGTGGCTGGTATGGCCTTGCAGTTTGGTAAGACTTCAAAAGGTCAAGATCACAAAAGAGGTGAGGTAAACTAATATAGCCAGCAAATCTGAAATAGAGACGTAGTAATGATGTCACTGCAGAAGTGTCATGAAGCCTGTGAAAATTGACCAGCGAAAAATAAAAACTTGTCTACTATTGCAATAAATTTTTTTAATTTATTTGTTATCGTGTTAACTACTGATATCAGCAAATGCTTTTTTTTCATTTTGTGGCCTGGAAATCCATAATTTCAAGAGGTAAAGCGACACCTCACGTTAGCAACATTTCTCGATTCTGATTGGCTATAAAATTTCTCAGATCAGCTGGAGGGTGCATAGAAAAAATAATTATGTCTTTTATCAGCCCAGAGGTTGTTTTGGGGGTTTATCTGTCGAGAGTTCACTGCCATGCCCTGACCTAGATCAGCCCAGAGGTTGTTTCAYGGTGAGTTAGCCATGCCCTCACTTAGATCAGCCCAGAGGTTGTTTCACTGTGAGTTAGCCATGCCCTGAGTTAGATCAGCCCAGAGGTTGTTTCAGGGGTTAAATGTATCTGTGAGTTAGCTGTGCCCTGACTTTGATCAGCCCAGAGGTTGTTTTAGGGTTTGATTAAGGCAATTAGGCTTTAGCTTTTTTCCTCAAATCTTATTTCAGCTTACAATGGCCGTCCTATACTAATTTCGCCTCCTCTGAATATTGACGGCACAATGATGAGTGAATTTGCATCTGACAATCAGGTGAGTTTATCTTTTTTTTTTACAGCAGATTCTTTTATGGCTTTTAATCTTATTATTTAACACCACTGTCTTTATCGTTCCAGCCTCTGATATAAAGGTCATGTTATTACTATCAAACATGCACTTGACCAAACCGAACAAGACTACAAGTCAGTGATGATGATTGATAAAAGGTTTAACAAGATCAATTTAAATTCATTAATTCCAGTCACAACGCATATCTATAAATACTGAAATTACTTCTAGCTTGTAGACTAGTTATACAGACTAGAATGGTTTTGAGTAGCATATGGCTCTCTTATTGTTTCTGTATACAAGGTGTATACAAGAAAACATGTTGCTGTTGCTTTTTATTTTTATATGACATTGTATTGCAATATTATATCAGYTCACATTGGAGCCTAATGGGCCAACACCATTTAGACATGCACAAGAGAACCAACTAAAAAGTAGAATGGTAACAATGCATCAAACTTTGGCTAGTGGAGCCAATCAGAAACCTAGACTACAYGAGAATTGTAATTTGACCCTGATGTTATGTGTAAACAACTAGATAGGCTGTTGTTTTYTGCTGCTTTCTGATTGGCTCCACTATCCAAAGTCGGAATGTATTGTTTTCATTCTTCAATTTGATTGGTTCTTGCTGTCTAAGTGGCYCCAGTTATTTATAGTAGTCAAAACTGTAGACTGGGTATATTTGGMGTAAGTATAAGAATGAGACTAAGATTATTAAAATATTAGGGACCGGTCATTAATTATGGGAGGGGGGGGGGGGGGAGTGGATGAGAAAAAGGTGGCATCCTGAAAAAAAATGAAAGCCAAATGGCGGTGACATGAAGCTAACCTGAATGAAATTAGGGGGAATTGTGAAGTTTTATATTGGAGAATTTCACTATATTTGGGGGGTGTCCTGAAAAATGTTTTTCTTTCCCTGAAAAAAAGTGCATTTCTGGGGAATTTATCATCCACCCCCCCTCCCCCCACATTCTCCTGTGTTAATGACCTGTCCCTTAAGACTAAACCCACCCGGACAATCACATATCACAACAAATAATTATTGAATATTTAAAATCAGCATTTATATGATTAGGTGCTTGGTGATAGYTACTGGACCACACCCTACATTGCAGCCCCATGGGAATAGGAAAGAGAGTGGGCAGGGAATCAAGGAAATCAAGGGTGGTGTGTTGGTATCACAACTACCTATCTTTCTTGGGCTCCTGGACTATTCATCACATGTAAATAGAAATATTCCAAAATTGCAGTCAGGATTCATKATTTATTATGATTCAAAGTCGTCTCTGACTTCTAGTRAAATTTACAAAATTTAATCAATTTACAGCTTTAAATCATAATGAAACGTGAGTAGAGTTTGTTAGGTTTCTTCCTTGATTTGAGGATTTTTCTCCATCTGCTAAACCTAACGAGGGAAATTCGAATTTAATCCGTGAATCAGCTCAGAGGTTATTTCAGGGTTTGATCTGTGAGTCGGACATGTACTGGYTTTGTTCAGCCCAGAGTTTGTTTCAGGGTTCGAAAGAAAAAATTGACGGAGAAGGGAGGGGAGGGGAGGGTTATCCTCTTGGGTCACTTGGTTACTTAGTTCCCCCCTTTGAATGATATTCTACTATTGAAAGGAGGCTGGCACATCTGACTTTTTTAGATCTATAGAAAAGTTTCACGACAGCCATATTGGGTAACAGAAGAATCACCTATGGAAAGAGGGCGTAAAGTGCGCTGCGCCGGCTTTCCAAGATATATCCTTCGCCACCACAGTAGTCTATTATCACCGCATTTTATTTAATATTGTACCTCTTGGAGGAGGAGGATCCATCTAAAAGTATTACGGGGAGGTGTTCGTCAGTTTTTTTTCAAAAGTCCATCGAGCTCTTGGGCTGCACAAAAATATTAAAAGCGCTGTGCATGGGTTTTCTTCTTTTACACACTAAACAATACCAAAGTAATAGTGAAATTCTAGATTTCATCTTAAAGATAACCATGAAAGATAACAAATCGCTAATTTTGAGCCCTTTTACTGCYGCCAGTCAATAACATAAAAGGTACCGACGGATTATTTTTGATTGACGGCAGTGAAAAAACTAGTTTCAGCGTGCAGCTTGCAACTAATGAGTTCGTAGAATATCGAAAACCGCAGTAAACGTAGTAAACGTATTAATGTAGTAACATGTGGATATCGGGGAAATATTGTAGTTATGGATACATTTGATGTGGAAGAAAGGGTTAAAAACACTTTCTCAATTAATACAAAATAGCATTTCATTTTTATCTTACCATATAGAACACAAATTTAGAAGAAAAGCTTCAAAAGCATAGCAAAGTATACCTTGGTTATCAGTTGTTTACTTTTTTCTTGTCTTTTTTCTTTGTTCCCTTAATCATAAAATTACTCGCTCGTAGGCTCCTCTCGGAAGCTTTTTAAAAAATAAAGAAACAAAGTAAATCTTTGGGACTAGGATAATCAAAGTATAAATATTTAATAAAACATTTTGATTGAAAATAATGCTTGTTGAAGCCTGTTGTGTTTTACTCTCGTAGGGACTAATCCAAAGGTGGTGTAATGGGGAGTGCGCTAGCCACTCAGTATTAGTAAGCCACCCCCCGGCCCTTTTACTCACTTTCCTGTTAAAGCCTTTGTAATATTCACCCCTCTACAAAAATTCATGGAACCGAAACTGCTCTCAATTTATATGTTTTACTCCCGTTATACGATGAATTTTTGTTTGTAAAATTTATATGTTGAAACGTTATTTGAAGACTAGCTCGCGTCAATTTCGTCAGACAAAAAAGTTTGGTCAAAAGCGTTGAAAACTCACATCTACATTTGAAATCCTTTTCCGGGCAAAAGTTAGTTCTTGTCTACCTAATTGGGTGCTTGCTTGCTTCTTCTTCTGCTTCGTCTTTCTTTTAATTTAACATTAGCCTGCATAGCAACCCGGTGGGGGAGGGGGTTGTTAAGTGAGGTCCATCCTACTTGGGCCGCTATGTCACTGATCCTGATGAGCAGATTGATTAATGATTCATGCATAATTGTTTGTTGTTTTCGTGTGGTAGTTTTATTTCYAATTTTGCAGCAGAATATTGAGCTCTTTATCCAACAATACCCGATACCACAGTCCATATTCAGTTTTATGCACGCATATTGTCTTGAATATTAAGACGACCTTTTTGAAAAAATCGAAAAATGAGCGGTAATCTTAATTAAAGAATCCCACCCCCCTTCCCCCAATTCATTTAATCTTTTCTGTTTTAACTCAGCAATAAATTGCTAATTGAAAATGTTTTCGAAAAAAATTGGACAACATGACAACCGAAAATTCTCATGACCTATTTTTCAAATTATTGCATTAGTCTTCCTTTTCTTTTTTCCTTTCTAGGACGGATTTCTTAGGTTTTTATTCTCACTTAAATTTCCTT